CACCACCACCATCACCACCACCACCACTACCACCACCACCACCATCACCACCACATACTAACCTTTCTCTACAATGGTAGCTTTAGAGCAATAAAATAAATACTTCACTCATTAGAAATGTCAGCTTAGAGACACACTTTTTTTAGCACCTTGAACAGAATTAGGAGAACAAAGTATTCCATTAAAATATAAAACTGGCAATGCTTTGATTTCAGTTCTTATCACCCACATGGACATACTGTCTCTCTGGAGAACATAATATGTGTTCTGTTTGAACATGACAGTCTTAACAAGGTATGTCTGAACTCAGACATGTAGATTTTTAGATGAGGGCTGTACACAGATCATCAAAACAAGGGTAACTGATTAGATAAGAACTAAAAGAACAAAACCCTTCCTTTATCACCACTGAAACCATGTTAGGGGGTAGCTATTACTTTGTAGTCTCCCTGGGAAGACTGGTGATCCTGCGTGACTAACTCTGTCCTCCCCGCTCCCATGCCCTTCCTCTGGGATAAGCTTAGGTTTCACAATTGTGGTCAGAAACATCCTGAAAATGCTCAGCAAAGCTCAGAGTGAAGTATTTATGCTTGCTCTATAATTTCTAGCAATATTTATATCCAAAGTCCCAGCCAAGTCATTTTATTAGGTCGAGCGATTCTCTTACAGGAAGTGTTCAAGCATACAAAAGTTATATTGAAAGTCGCATGCATATTTGAAGGTACCTTTTATCAGAAGACAGTGTGTCAGCTTGTGAGCGTTCAGGAGCGGCCCAGACACCCGAGCTACTTGTTGGCAGCTGACACCCACAGATGCTAGTCAGATAAAAGGCAATGTAGAACCATCCTTAATTTATTACATATTCTTAAATTTTAGTGGCAGACAACAAGATACACCATTAGTGATGATGGGGGTTTGGAAAAGATTAAAGGGAAAATGTATAACGTCAGAAAATGGAACGTGGGATTTTCCCGGTATGAGAACATAAGTCATGGTCTGGGGAAGGAAGTGGCAGAGGAACTCTGAATGCGTGCCGCACTTTTTCAGAGGAAAAAAAGCAGTGGGGAAAAGCCACAGTCTTAAAACAAACAAACAAACAAAAAAAACCACAACCCACTGTGATTTAATCCAAAATCCACCTGTGGATGAAATATTTACTACTAAATGTTTCATGCTGTGTAGGGAGCAGTGGTAGATTTGAAATAGCTCTTTTTCTAAGCAATGAAAGATAACAGACTGTGAAACATTAGGGATCCTGTGGAGTTTTGGTTTATTTATACACTTACTTATTTTTGCATTGCCAGGAACTTTAAATTAATTCTTAAACCTCGAAGTTAATATCTTTCACAGAATGTACATACATCACAAAGTCAATTTCTAGAGAAATCTATTAAAATGTAGAATCTTTTTGAATAAAGATATTAGCACAAAGGAAAAATGGGGCATTAAAGTTTCCTCGTAAGAAATTTCACAAAACTTCCATACAATAAAGAATTACACTAATCACACCGATTACAAACAGTTATATTTTAGACCTGGACACACTCCTACAGCCTTCTTTTATTTAGAGCATCAGCCTCATTGTATTTACAAGATAAGAAGGGGAAGAAAGGCATTAAAAGTAAGGAGATCCAGAGAGAACATTCATGGTCAACAGCCATTGTTGTGCTAAGCCTTTGAAAACTCCAGCGTTCTCCTTATGAATTTCAAGCAGGGCTTTACAAGTACACAGCAGCAGTCCACCAAACAGGAGGCCTTAGTGGGGATTTCAAGACACTCCTGCCCACCCAAATTAAAGAATGCCTTACCCCTCCCTTACCATGCCCAACAAAGACTTGCCAAACCACAGCCCTGGGGCAAAGTTTCTTTACTTTATGAGCACATCCAGATGTAATGTATGTATTTCAGGGGTTTATCCTGGAACAATTTTATCTATGCCAGATAATATAGGGTTATTTAATTTATTAAGAAATGAAATTATTTACACACAGCTTCCTTTAACGTAAGTGTAAGTAACTGCACCAATCACGAGCTCCAAGGAGGGACATGAAATGCCAGTGGAAAAAAAAAACCAAGATATAAAGAACTGCCTGTACTTTCAGTATTTTATTTCCTTGAATGTATATTTATGATTCTACCTGGATGGTCAAGCTTCTGAGCCATTTCCCCTTCTTTCCTATTTTCCATTTTTCCTATTTGGCATCACTACATAAAAATACAAATGAGCTTTGAAGGAAAGCAGACAGGCCCGGCCTGCCCAGAGGAGTCTTAAGACTCCTGGAGCCCCTGGCGAGCTCACAATGGGATGCACCAAGAAGAGAAACTCCAGAGGTGTGATAATGTTCACTTTCCAGAACCAGGATGAACCACAGTGCACATGTATGACTTGTGACCAGAAGGTCTTGCACTTATACTAAAAGAAAAACTGAAATTCAATGTTAATGAGAATGACCACTTGGCACAGGCCAGCTGCAGGCAGGGAAAACAACCAGCCACCCACCTGTCCCTCCGCCTCTCCCTCCCTTCCCCCCTCTAACTGAGCAGGGCAGTTCACACTCTGTACTCTCTCCCAGAACTGCCCCAGCCACCTGTGTGATGTGGATGGCCACTTGGAACATGCAGTTCTTCCAATGACCAATGGCAAAGCAATGAGGACCCAAGAGGAAGGTGAAATCGTTACCCAAAAGCCTCAACACTATTTATTCCATCAATGCTTTTCTTGAAAAACACGAGGCTTAGGACATGGGATGAGGTGCCATCCTCAGCACATACATGGGAAGTTAAAGGAGAGTTTCAAAGATGCACTCCAGTATTAGGTGGATTCATTTAACTTATATCTATCAGACACCTGCCATGGGCAAAGCATTCTATCGTACTTGTTGAGGGATAAGATGCATATTGTAACACTTTTTGATTCAAACTTCCCTGTTTGACCTGAGGATACTTCCAGGGTGAAGAAGAAAGCCCTGCCTTTATGGTGCCTGATCTTCTTGTTTGGGAATTGCTCATGTAGACCCCCTTGCTTTCTACTTCCCTTCCTGCCCCATTTCGTTAACCTGGGAAATCATTCCCAGAGACCCCATCCCCTTCCAAAGGACCTGGGCACAGGGGGATCATCTGAAGCCCTCTATACTACATTTCTGCTGAACTCACGGGATTCCTGAAACCCCTCTGAAAATAAGGAGTCAAAAATGAAGCACGTGTAAACCTCAGGACAAGCCCCCCACGAGAGGCAGTCACGCAGCAAATGAGCACCACCAGCCCCACTGCACCTCCCACCTCCTCGCCTACTCTGAACGCACCGTTGCACAGGGCTTACACAGTCAGAGTGCAAACCCACACCTGATACTAAATAAGAGAAAAGGGAAGAAAAGAATCAAAGGGGAGACCAACACAGAAGGAGACAGAGAGATTGAGACCAATAGCAAGGGAAGGGAGTGAGGGACAGAAGACAGGCAGAGAGCTGGAGGCGTATGTGGGGATGGGGGAGGGGAAGCAGGAGGAACTGATGGATTGGGGACCAAGAGGTAGAAGAATGGAGTGAGGGGCCAAGAAGGAGAGGAGAGGAGGGTGGAGGTGAGTTGGAGAAGTGGAAAGAAGAAGGGATGGGGAGGGAGATGTCCCAAGGAAGCGAGGGGAGAAGAGAAGCCAAGAGAGAATGAACGACATAAAAAAAGACACCCGGAAAGCCTTTGGACACTATCGGCCATTCCTTCTGCCTCCCAGTGTGCCCCGCCTCTGCAGGGACCGACAGCAGGCAGGCTCCCCACCCCAACACTTT